TTGTTTCATATTTTTTTTTTTTTTTTTTGAATTATCACGACAAACCGTGGTGGCTCAGGGGATAGAGAGTTCACCGTTAAATGAGGTGAACCGAGTTTGAATTTAGCGCTGACTGGTCGATACGAATTCCACAACCAGCTTGCACTGACCTTAGCGCTGGCGTTATGACATCTTTAGGATAAAGAACCCCTTGATGCCAGGCTAACCGTGGGAGGTTTTCGTGGTTTTCCTCTCCATGTAACACAAATACGTGTTAGCTTCATCAAAAAGTCCACCTCGATAGCAAATTTCTCCCAATACTTCTTCCAAGAGTTCCCTTATCTTCTAGATTGTATTCAAATTTACTAGTCTACGGAGTGGAACATTACTAGTCGTAATCCCAAAAATTTGGGGCGGCTGTTCAGCGCCGGTTATTAAAAAAAACTACCACGTCAAATCAATAATTCAAAAAAATAATACGTATATAAGATCTATATGTTGGCTAATTATACTTATAGATATCTTAATAGTTTTGCTTTTTGAAAATGTTTCCAAATAAACTGCTGTTTTAATACCACTCTGTAAAATCTTTTTCACCGACCGTACAAGTTGGCAGGTATGGATCTGTAATCGTTAAATTATAAGTTTTTAATAGTTTAGATGCAGCTGACGTAATAAAGGTTTACTTAATATACATATGAATTTACTGTAATTCCTTTCCTAATAGCTCTTCATCACTGATATGTGAAAATTCAGCTTTAATGGCAAATTGCGTACAGAAAGTGTTATTTCAAGAAATTTATATTATTGACTCGTAAATGTCTGTCTTCCTTTTCGGAACCGGCAAAATTTTTATTAAAAAGTGTAACAGTGGTGTTAACATGATTTCATTATTCGCATTATTCTTGTTCAAGCAAATCATTTTGCATTCAGCATGAAATATCGATAGATTTTTTTTTTTTTTTTTGGATGTGAAATTATGTAGTTGTACTTAACTTTAAATGTAATCATAATCATATAACCTCTTTCGATATGGGAGCATTTCTCCTATGATCTCAGTATTGAATTTCGGGCATAAGTGCATGAAGGGTAATCGGAACTTATTTTATTTATATTTTATATTACAAAATTTGAATAAAAAAATGTAATAATTGCCAACCGCAGTTTCCACAAAATATTTTCTCCAATTATTTCATTAATGTGTATTTCGTTTTTAAGGGTGTCTTTCCTATATTTATCTTCCTTTCATTTATTTTAATATTAATAATTTAAATTTCTATCTAAGGAAGTTAAAACCTTTCATTACCCTCTCGAGTGCCAGTTATATATTTAGGGCAATAAATATGACGTTGAAGTTTTTTCAAATGAATATAATTTTTTTTAAATTGCTATATTTTAAAATTGGAAGATTAGCGCTTCATAATTGTATTTTATTAACAATATGATAGATTCAACAAACACCCAAATCTGACTGGACTTTCTTTAAATTTAATATGCAGCATGTATGCAATGTCATCGCAAAATGGAGTACCATTTTATAACCATTCAATAATTAATTTTTAAAATTAATTCTTAAGCTCCTTTTTTTAGAAAGCAAATGACATTAAAAAAATCTGAAGGAAAAAAACTGAATATATTAAAACTTTTACAATTAAAAGATCTTCTCATCATTAACTAATTAATTAATAAAAAATTATAATTTTATCTAAATTCATCATTTTACTACATGTGAAATCTTTAAGCTGAGGCCTTATAAATTTTTGTGAAAGAGTTCTTTTAATGTAACGGATCTTTCCAAAGGTATGACAAGAAATATGACACTTAAAAACAGCATTAAGCTAACAATTTTTTTACTTTCGTTATGGCAGTTACCTTTAAAAGTCAGTTTTTCCAAACCTTTATCCATCCACCTATTTTCGGAATGATAAATCAGAATTTGATGAAAACAAAGGTATGTTTCTTCAAAAAACGTGCGTTTTACTTTGGTTTAAGTAAGCATTGTCCACCACGGTTACAATTAACTGTTAAACATATTTTAAAAGATTTCTGTGAGATATATCACCAATATAAAAGTACAGAAGGGAGTATAGGGAGTTTTGAGGTACCAAAGCATTTTACAGAATGAAAATCCAATTAACTATCTAAAAGTTATGAAAGTTATTATTTTTTTTTTTTTTTTGCAAACTTTACAGAAGGAAAAAAACTTGTCAAAAGGCCAAAGGGAGTACTTTTTAAAACATATAAACTTTTGCAACTTTTGAACTATTTGTTCTATTGACTTGTGTACAGTCTCATTCGATATTTAGCGAAAAAGAATACATAAAGAAAACAATATTTCACTTGTTTAGGTAGCGATATCAGATGCATAAATAGGTATAAAGTACAAATTTGTACTTTCTGTACATAAAACGCTTATATTTTCTAAATAATTCAATAGCCTCAAGATTAGCTTAATTTAATTCAGCGTGAAAAAATACATCCAAAAATAAGAAGAAATTCTAATCTATCCAAAATCTAGAAGAAATCCCCCCCCTCTACTTTCTCAAAAAAGTGGTAAGAGATGTCAGGTTAATATGAATACCGCACCCGGCTCGCACCGACCACAATGACCTGAAATATCCTCAGCGGTAGACGAATCATGTGTTTGAGTTCCCTTGCCGCCATGATGCTGACAGTGGGAGATTCCCTGCGTTTTCCTCTCCGTGTTACGCAAATGCGGGTTAGTTTCATCAAAAAATCCTTCACTAAGGCAAATTTCTCCCAAAACTTGATTCAGGAATTCCTTTGTTTTCTAGATTAGGTTAAAAATTATAAGGCTATTGAATTGAACATTAGCAGTCGTAAAACCAAAACAATTGGTCGGCTCTTCAACGACGGTTATAAAATAAAATAGAAAAAGGGAGAAGCGTATAGAGGAGAGTTATGAAGTATCACTTATAATAATATAAAGCCTTTTGTCGAAATTATTTTGGGCTTTAATTTTTTCGAAGAAAAAGTCTAATTATACTAAACTAAAACACAAGACTTTGTTTCTGATCTGTGTGCATATGTTTAGATGATATAACGTGGCAGGGCTAGTCAGGAGGTAGCTAGGCGTTCGGTCAAGTATGACACCTCGTAACAAGAGGAAGAAAGGGGTGAAAAATATTTTTTTAAATACGTGGCGTCATATATGTACTATCCCAAAACTGTTCTACATCCTTGTATTGTCTTGCGCACAACTACAAACATTGTATAAAATATTTTAAGGACAAACAACGTAGGGAAATTCTCGCAAGGAGCCCTAAAGAGAGAAGCTGACCGTAAACCAACTATTTCATTTTTAGCTTACTTCCGGGTAGAGTAACACACCCATGAGTCATATAAAAAAAAAAAAAATGTGTTTCCCCCTATGAAAAAGAAGACTTAAGAGTGTAGGGGAGTAAGAAGATTAAATTGTGTTTTTCTTATAATTTTCAGCTAAGTTGATATTGAATTCTCTGATGTTGTGCAAAGACGTAACAAAAATTGCAATACATTTTTCTGACAATGCAGTATATTTGTAATTTCAAGAGCTTTTCACGTGATTTCTTTAGTGTTAAATAAAGACTGCTTATTCATTGTTCCGAAAAATTTATTTATCTCTTTCCAGACCTTTATTTTATTAACTCGCAATAGAGAAAATGACAACACTAATTCGTATTGAAACTTTTTTTAAAATATAGGGCGGATAATTCAAGACAAAAATCTCTTTTCATTTTGAACTTCTACAATAACACAAGTCGCGCTTACATGCTTCTCATTTATTTTTTCTTGCTAAGTCATATATAT